GGGGGTGGCCAGTGTGACTGTTAGTGGCCCTTTCCACGTTGACTTGAGGCTCTCCTGACACCAATCTTTTACCCAGACTGAGTCTCTGGGGGAGGCTTGTGAGGGGCTAAATACGCTAATGAGAGCTTTCCAGTGTCCAACAGCTATCTTTTGGAGGGGCTTTCCCAGCTCAGTAAGTAGTTTTTGTAGGGCAGATTCCCCCACTTCTCTTTCTGGGTGAATCAGCCCTCTTAGGATGGGAGGCAGCCTGGCTTACAGAATCTCAGAGGTGGTACAACCTGTGTTCTTAGGAGAGGTGCGTCTTGTCCAGAGGAGCATGAAACGCAAGGCTTACTGCATGCAGATTCTGATTAATTCCCGATGATCGTCCAGGCTTTGAACCACTGATGCCAGGAACGCAGGTCCAATGTCAGATCCCACGCTCCAAGAGAGACCATAGCAGGGAATGCTCGCCTGTAGTAGCCACTATGTCACTTCTCCGGCCTTTTTAATCTGGCAAAGAAAAGCTCCCCACTTGGAGTAGGTGCAAATCATGACCAGGATGTAGCAGAAATCTCCATGTTAGAGTCAGTCTTGGTGAAATCAACTTAAATACCCTCGAATGGTGCTGACCTCAACTTTTGGACTCCTGCTGGGGTCCCTGAGCCAACTTTGGGGTTGTGCTGGATGCAGGTGACACAGAACTCAATAGTCTGTTGAGTCAAGGCAGTCACCTAGGGGATGTAGAAATGGCAACTAAGCAGAATTTCTGGTTTTCTTCTCCTTAAGTGGGTGGTCTCATGAGCTATCTGTACCAACTACAGTCCAAGGAAGGGACCACCACTCCACCATCTGGGAGCCTATACCCATCATCCAGTCCCTTAGTTCTTCTCACCTGCCTTCCAGTAAACTATTGTAAATAGTACAGCATCTGGTCTCACACTGGTGACCTAAGCCTCACACTCAGCCTTGTTGTTCCCCACTTGTCCCTTAGATTTCCCTTTCTGGTGCCCTTTGGAATGGAAAACAGCAACTTCCTTGGGAGCCCAAACTGCCTCCAAGAGTTGAAGAATATCTTGGGGGTATTTTATTTCTTTGCCCCTCGCCATGAGCAGGTCTCTTTCCATACATAAGGCCCTGTGTACATGCAGAGTTAGGAAGGTTTATTTGGAATCAATGTAGATATTTAGGCTTTTCTGAACTCCAGCACCTTGTATACCAGATTTTTTTTTTTTTTTTTTTTTTTTCAGAACCAGGGATTGAACTCAGGCCCTTGCGCTTGCCAGGGAAGCGTAGTCTACTGAGCCATCTCCCCGGCCCCTATACGCCAGATTTTGTCTAGCATTTGAGTTAGGTCAATTAATTCTGCCCTCTGTGCTGGGGGTCCCTGTGGCAATTCTATAACTTCTGTTACAGTGACAACTGCATAGCCAGCCTGCTTCTTTTCTTCCTCATCTATGTGGCTGTTATAGTCATGCTGGGGTCCTTCATGTTGGGAGAGACGGGTGGATGGCTGGGCTCAAGTTGTCGGAAACTTCTACTTGGATGCGAGGATGCGCACAGAGCAAATTCTGATAATCGGATTAGGTGAAAATTGGTGAGCTGTGGTGGCCCTGGGCATTTGTAGGAGTGACAAGTGTGTGTGGAATTCACACTCAGATCCTGACCTAGAGTCAGCTTGTCAGCCTCCTTGGTCAGGAGGGCAGTTGCAACCAGAGCCTTCAAACAAGGAGGCCAAACTTGTGTCTCCCATTCAGCTGTTCTGGTAAGCAGACCGCTGGACTTTCTCAAGGGTCCGCCCTAGCACCCAACAGCCATCCTTTTCCATTCAGACACGCAGAGGCTAAAAGACTTGCTTAGATGAGGGAGGCCTAATGCCTCTGGAAAGTTTTCCCTTTAGGGCCTTGAGGGTGGTTTGCTATTCTTTTTCCCCAATTCAGTGGTTCCTGCCCTGCCCCTTGGCGTCATAAAGGGATTTTGCCAAAATAGCGTAGTTGGGGATCCATATTCTGCAGAAGCCTGGAGCTCCCAAGAACTTGGGCATATTTTGTATCACTGCCTTCCAGGCTGCTCCCAACCTTCTCCATCCCTTGTGTGGATGAAATCCCAGCCATGTAACCTCCGTGTAGCACACTGTGTCTTTCTTCAGGACAGCCTGTTTTCTTCCCAACACAGATGGTGGAGGAGCTCCTCCCGGCCTTTCTTGTATCCTGCTTGGGTTTTATGTCCTAGGAGGAGGTCATTAACATACTGCATCGAAGTGCACCCCAGAGTGTGCAGAGAATGAATGGAGGTCTGGTCCTAAGGCCCGCCCCAAATGGTCAGGGAGGGCCATGTGGCAGCAGAGACCAGGTGAGTTGGCTGTGTTGTCCAGTGCTGGCTGATCCCACTGAAAACAAAGAGCATCTGGCTCTCAGGATAAGCGTATGCACATATGCAGAAGGTCTCTCTCTCTCTCTCTCTCTCTCTCTCTCTCTCTCTCTCTCTCACACACACACACACACACACACACGGAATTGAACTCAAGACCTTGTGCTTGCCTGTAGGCACTTAGGCCACTGAGCTATCTCCCTGGTCATCTTTCAGATCTAGGCAGGAAAACCACTCAACTGAAGCCGTCAATCATCCTAGTAGAGTGCAAGGATCTGGAATGGTGGGGGTTCAGGGTCAGTGTGGCCTCACTGATTACTCAGAAAGCTTGGACGGAGGGTGGGGGATAGGGATAATCCCCAGTAGCTGTATGTCTGTTGATATCCAGCTTGAGTTCTACCTTGATTGGGGGCTGATTTATGGCCAGGCCAACAGGTTTTCTTCTGCCCAGACTTGGGATCTTTGTCCAAGCAAGTTTCTGCCTCCCTCAGGGGCCTTTCAGACCAGCCTGTCTTGAAGCCTACATTCTTCCTCCTGATGGACAGCCAGGGTCAAGATCACCCTTCATGGTGCAAGTTCAAGATACAGTTCTCTATCCCCTGGGTCAAATTTGCCCTTAACATGGCCAAGAAATTTCTCCCTAAGAGGGAAACTGGGCAATCTGGCATATATTACTTTGGGGCCTTCTAGCTTACAAACTGCAGCTGACAAAAAGTGGTGGATTTTGACCATCCTGTGCCCCTTTTGATGTCAACAGTCCATGGACCTAGGGGCCCTCAGGAGATGTCATGACACAGCCCCTGTGCCTTCATGTAGACCATGGGACCTGGTGGATCAGGAACCAAACCCATCTCAGCCCCTAAAGAGAGTGTTCTCCTACAGGGAAGCGAAGATGGTCGCCTCTGGGTCCTCAGCGCGCTCAACCATCTTTTTCTTTAGCTTTGGGCACTCACAATTATAGTCTTTTCCTCATAGGAGGTGCACTGGTTCTTCTCCAGGGGTGGGTGAGCCTTGCAGGTGTGGCTTCCTTCTTCTTTTGGTTTTTTGTTTTTTGGTTTTTTTGGTGGAACCAGGGATTGAACTCAGATCCTTGTGTTTGCCAGTCAAGCGCTTATCCTACTGAGCCATCTCCCCGGCCCCTCCCTTCTTCTTTTGTTGTCCTTTATGTGTGTCTGAATTTTCTGTCTATCTGCCTACTAGGGCTGCAGCAATAAGATTGACCTTTTCCTTTATCCATCATCCAGCCTCTCTGCATTCCTCCAAATCTCTGTTGACAAACCTTGTTGGTGACTTCCAGAAGCTGGGATGTATTTGTACCTACAAAGCCTCCCAGGTGCTGGAGTTTACCAGTGTACCCGACACTGGTTCACAAGGCCATGCTGATCACCCTCTGGTTCTCAGGAGCCCCGGTCACTTTCTGGCCTCCATGTCACAGTCCTTGTAACAGGACAGTGTGATAGTCTATCACCCATTTCATCTGTTTGGGGATGCTGGGGTCCCAGTCTGGGTCCTGCACAGGGAGCTGCTGTCAGGCATATCCACTTGGATAAAGGGTGCCTGTGGGAGCATTTTCTCCCAGCAACTTGGTAGCAGCACTCAGAACACGTTGGTGGTCCTTGGGGCTGAAGAGAGTAAGCAGAAGCTGGTAGCAGCCAGGCTAAGTGAGGTTGTGGGTCTGAAAGATGCACAGGAGCCACTCAGTGAGTATCGTGGCCTTTTGGTGCGGGAAGGAGTGTGGTGCTTCCAATTTGGTAAGCCAGTGGTGGTGAAAGGCGAGAAATAAAGGTAGACTCCCTGGGCCCTGGAACCTCTGGGTAGACAGACAGAGGCTCCCTTGATTCTTCCTGGAGAGGAAGCTAGTCCCAACAAAGGGGAGCTACAGCCAGAAGATGACTCTGTTTTGGCTGGAGAGGCAGACGAGCCTGGCAAAGGGAACTTGGAGCCAAATTCCAAGCCTGGCCAGTTGCATGGTGAAGAGGGGGCACAGGATGACCCAGCGGACCATGGCAAGGGGGGATGGAGAGATTTTGGCACTTTCTGGCCCAACAGGTCCTGGTGTGGCATCAGGGTAGCTTCAGGGCTGAATGCTGACTCGCTGAAGGTCTGTGTGTCCAGCTTCAGGCCAGTGTTCCTTGGGTATGAGGAGGAGGGGGCTCCACTAGAAGGGGGCCTCTAGGTTGCCTGAGAAAATAGGTGATGTTCTTTTGGGGGCCATTTGTTTGAGTGGGCCACAGTGGGAACCAAAAATCAGGAAAGGTACTCTCTCGACCAAGGCAAGGAAGAACAAATACCAAGTTGCAGCCAGGAATCCACATAGGGAAGCTCCTGATCTGGGTGTCTGGGATCTCTTGCAACAACCTGCCAAATGTAGACCAGCACCCCTTCCAGTGAATGCCAGGCCGGCCACCCTGCCTGGCAGGATGCTCATTCCATCTCACAGGGTCTGGAGTTTCCCAGGAGCCGGTTTCTGTCCAGAGTCTCCATTAGATCCCTTTTAAAATTTTTTGATCATAACCTCAAAGGAAATGAACTTGCTCTGACTCCCCATCACAGCTCCTGCCACCCACAGAGAAAGACAAAGGAGAGAGACACAGATCGCTTCGTGTGGCCACCAGCCAGTCTCCTCAAGAGACATCTCCGGGCCCTCTTAGCACGGGCAGGCCAGTGACCCTGGCTATTACCGCAGTGCTGCCCTACACTGCATGAAGATGGAGCTGGGCTTCGGGAGTCTGCACCTTGCTTCAGCCCCGGGCACCCACACCACCCACACTTGGGGTGTGCTGTCTGTCTCATTCACACACTTTCCACAGGACTCCCACCTGCCAGTGGCAGCCTAAAGTGTCCCCCTGTCACTGCCCTTCTGGCGGCTAGTTGGGGAGCCTGATGATAATCAGTCCTCTCTGGAGGCCTGTTTTGAGAGGTCTCCCTCCAAAGTGAAGATCCTGTTCCAGATCCCCTCCTAAATCCAGGCCCCTGTCCTTACTGTGATTTAGATATCTACCAAATACCATTTGGTCCTCTCTGTGCGAGCCCTCCTTGGACAGCCAGCTGGTGCTTGGCGGCTGTGCAGCAAGGCCTCCCACACATAGGAAATCTGCCCGAGCATGCTCAGCAGGAGTTAGCTGTAGGAAATCTGCATGCTAGGCAGGAGTTCACCATCTGGCCGAGCTCCCTGCTCCGTCCGTCCATCACTCCGTCCTTGAGGAGGTAATCAGCCACAAGTGGTTCTGCCTAATCCCAAGGCTTCCCAGTCAGGGAAGCAAATGAAGCAGGAGACAAATGGGATCCTAAACAAAGCCCCACAGACACAGAAGGAGAAAAGGGGGCCTTTCATTTGCTGGCATTGCCACAAAGGATTCACTTGTCTCCTTCAAAGCTTCAAACAAAGCTTTGTTTCCACTTCTCTATTGTTCCTCGTCTAGCGCTGATTTTTCATTGGAAATCAGCACAAAGAGAGGTTACAGAGGTAGAGCAGTGAATAAGGGGTGAACAGTGGTCAAGAGAGAAGGGAGAGCAGGGAGTTCTGACATCTTCCAAGTCTGCTATGCTCCACCAAGGTTACGTTATAGATGCCTCTGAGCAGAGCCGGGTCCTAGCCATCAGCTTCCTCAGGGAGCACAGCTGTACAGTTAGCCCATAGCTGCCCAGTTCCACCCAGGGGCTGTTTTCCTGGCAATATGAGGCAAGTAGAATTTATGGAACATCCTACCATTATTCAGAAAATAAAATGCTGTGACACTTAGGGCTTCAGGCAAAAGCAGTAGCAATGGTATTTGAGAAAGACGTTTTTAAGAGGGACTGCAGAGCCACGTTAACAAGGAAAAATACGGAGACAACTATGATCTTGTAAAGCAGGGTCCAGGGCTGGGGAGGTAGCTCGGAGGTCTAAGTGCCTGCCTCTGAAGCACAAAGACGCAAATTTGATTCCTGGTACTACACGCTGTGCTGGGCCAAAACTGGGTGTGGTGGTGAACGCCTGTAATCCCAGCACTAGGGAGTTTATT